AGGTCTGTTTTGAATTGAAGTTGGCTTGGCTTTTGCTGCCAGTGCACAGGAGTCTGCACGACGAGGAGCCTCCGCCAAGTGGCCTCCGCCGCCACCGCCGCCACAGTTGCCGATCCCACCTCCGCCGAGCGGCCCTCCCCCACCACCGGGACCACCCCCGCCGGGGCCTCCCCCGCCAGGGCCACCCCCGCCACCTTCGGAAGCCGGTGACCAGGCCAGGTCTGTTCAGCAAGCCAGGTAAACCTTAAGCTTCTTTGACATCAAAACAATCCGCTGCCAGGACCAGAAGCAGGAAGCAGATGAGGAAGAGGAAGTGGAAGTGGAAGAGGAGGCACGGGTCACTCTACTAAGTAACTGAGCGCTGGTGAAAGTGCTCCAGTCAGGCCAAGTGTAGGAACTGAGTGCTGCTGAAAGTGCTCAAAGGGTCCAGGTCTAGTCTGAGAACTGAGCGCTGGTGAAAGTGCTTAGTACCTCCACTCACAGACTGTTGTCAACAGATTGTCTTGCAGGTGCCAAGGATGGCTTCTTCATCGTGGCAGAGGATGCCCACGACGATAGGATCGTGGCAAAGAAAGCCGTCGCAAGGTACCTTGAAAAACCAGAAGCAGCAAAAGCAAAAGCAACAGCAGCAGCCGCAGAAGAACGAGAAGAAGGGTTCACACGTGCAGGATGCCGCGCAGTACCGCCGGGACCTGTCCCGTGCGGAAAAGAAGATATCCAGTCTTCAGCAAGAGAACACAAGGCTTCAGTGTGAGCTGCACAAGATTGACACCGAACGCACGTATGGACAGTTGCTGCAGCAGAATGCTCAAGCGAGCGTGAAGGCTGCAGCAGAAAAGGCCAGGATGTGTTCCGTTGCTAAAAGTTGTCATGTTGCTTGGTTCTTAGTCTTAGTCTTGCCAGGCTCAGCAAGAGGAGGAGCTCAGAGCCGAGGGTGCACGGGCGGAGCAGGAGCTCAGAGCCCAGGCTCTGGAGACCTCCAAGAAGCTCCAGGACAGGCCATGCTGATGGCATCATGTTGTTGTAACTGTGAAATCCGTTGTTTCGTTCCAGGAGCAGCAGGCCACGCGCATCAAGGAGCTGGAGATCTCGCTGAAGGATGTCCGGGCCGAGAAGGCCTGCCAGGCAGACATCTACCTTGAAATTTCTGCTTTGTTCTGTTCTCCATGAGGACAGATACATGTCCATGAACCAGTCCATGAGCAGCTACCTCGAGACGTCGAAGGCCGGTGCACTTCATTCCGAACTTAAGGCCACTGTGCATCAGACCTCTGCAAGGCCGAGATCAACAAGCTGTCGAGTCTCTTGAAGGATGCCCAGCTCAAAGAGACGAGGAGATCCGAGGAGTTGAGGCAAGCCGTGGACGCCGTGGAAAGAGGAAAGGCCTACAAGGCCGGACAATCATGATCTTATGTTTAAGCTTCACCCTAAATCCTAAATCGTGTCAGGTCAAGACGGATCAGCGAATCTCCGAGATGGAGACGCTGATCCACGACACCATGGCCGAGAAGGCCAGGAAGGCATCATCTTGTTCCCAACATAGCTTTATGTTCTGTGTCAGGACAAGTACAAAAAGCTCGCCAGCGAGATGGGCCAGGAGATGGACAAGCAACGGGCCTCTTTGCTGCACATTTCGAAGCCATCCTCAAATCGAAGCAATCCTCTCTTCTGTGCCCCACCAGGCCTTGGACGCCAAAGAGGCAAAGATCCAGAAAGCCAAGGAGGCGCAGGACAAAAAGGAGGCCCAGGCGGCCAAGAAGGAGGCAAAGGCCCAGGAGAAAAAGGATGCCCAGGTAGGCAAGAAGGCGGCCCAGGAGAAGAAAAAGGACAAGAAGGAGGGTCAAGCGAAGGAGGAGGCCAAAAAGGCTGAAAAGGCCAAGCCTCTGGATGAGGCTCGTTTCCAGTAGCCTGTTCGTGAGTGCCCTGTTCTAGCTGCAGAACAACAAACGCTCAGGCCCCAATGGCGAAGAGGCAGAAGGTGGCGGGGGTGGTCCCAGAGGGGGAGGCAAGTATTTCAGTCTGAGCCAGCACGTAAATCAGATAATCAAGAAGCATGCTACCTCCCAAATCAGGTGAAAGATGCCGAGAAGGCAAAGACAAAGAAGGACGATGGTGAGGTGAGTGCGCTGTTTCGGGAGTAATGTCAATCAATAAACAAGCCATGATGTTTTGCCCAGGCGAGCACCGCTTCGAGATCGGCAAAGGAGGACTCGCTGGATCGGACACTTGAGGAGCTCTCATTGCTCACTTGATCAGGAGGCCGCTGAAAAGAAGGTTACAAAAGATGAGGCCCCCCAACCCTGAGCCCAGTGTTTCGGATGAATGTGCACGATGGCATTTGGCAGGAGCCCCTGCCGATGCCGAGGTGATGCTGAGGCCAGCAGGACTCAGATTCAGATTCAGAGAGCAATATTAGTTCAACTCCCCTGTATCAGGAGACAAGCTCAAGTGATGCAGATCTGACGAAGCAAGGCAGGAATCAGACCCCTTTTTCTGTGTAGAATACCATTTATCCCCTGTGCCAGGTGACGGTGGCTGTGGCTGACAGATCAGATGCAATGCATGCGCCGGCCAAAACAACTCTGAGTCTGCAAGCAGCAAACTTGAGCAGCGATGAGTTTGGATTGCAACAGAGTGTTTTCTGCAAATGATGGTGGCAGGCTGCTTCGGAAGACGATGACCGCAGGGATCTCAGGAGTTACAGAAACAGCTCGAGAGTTCAAGACGCTGGCGAAAGTGTCCCACTATATTGTGTCGTGAAGGGCGCTGGAGAAAGTGTCCGTTCATGGCAATGATAATACAACTTAGCTCGTGTGAAATCATGTCAGAGCTGTATGTTTGAAACTTCGAACTTTCAATAACAGAGCTAGCTGCTAGCAGCAGTAGGGGTTCAATAACATAATTAGAATGCTCATACTCTCAGACCACATTTGCATGTCGACTCCAAGGCTGGCACCTCGTGGTCCACGAGGTGGGCAAGCAGGTCCTGCGAGGAGGACTGTTAAGCAGGATTTGTAGTTTGGATGTTGGCTTGAGTTTCTTCGGTGGCTAATCATAGAAGATCGGAACTATGTGGTGCGTAGACATCCAGTGGTGGTGCTGCAGGCAAAGATTTAGCAATTGAGTTTGAGGCTCAGGCTCCTATCATCTCGGATCCTCAAGGGCCTCTATGGTATAGAAGGGGGTCGTATTATGATTCAAGAGATTTCGTCCTCGATTCTTTGCTCCAGTTGTAGCTCGCCCTGCTTCAACTTGAAAGCTCGACCTGAAAATAAAAGCCGTTGGGTTAAAGACCGAATTGCATCCCATCCCCAACCCTTGGAGCTTGTAGGAGAGTGGAGAAGTGGCAGGAGATGCGGAGGGAGACGGGGCAGGTGGAGCATAGGAGGGAGAGGAGGGAGGAGTGGGGAGGAGAGGGCGGGTAGGGCATGAGGTGGGATAGAAGGGCAGGGAGAGGAGGGGGTTGGCGGGGGGGCGGCAGGAGGATGGGTAGGCTGTGTGGGGAAGGAGTGGGGAGGGGAGGGAGGTCAGGTAGGGTATGAGGTGGGATAGAAGGGCATCCAGCATGTGGCACAGTGTGAACTGGGAGAGATTTGGGGGAATGAGAGCAGGTCAGGACCGAATCTCACAGTCAGCAGCACACAATTTGGCACTCTCACCAGCACCTTTGAATGCACTTTCTTCAGCGCACACATGTGTCGTCGTCAGGCACTATCACCAGCGCCATGATGCACTTTCTCCAGCGCATGTCGTCGTCAGCGTCATCGTCCTGCACTGTCACCAGCGCTCGTCGTGCACTGTCACCAGCGCTGACAAAAGCCCTGCCAGTGATGATGTCGTTCACCGCGAGGTCGAAACCTGAGTGCCTGCAGGGCCCTGACCAGGAATGCGGGGGGAAGGTCTTAAGGTCTTAAGGTTGAGCAACTAGGGAATCTAGGGCATCTTAGGGATTTAGGGTGGGTCTTAAGGTTCAGGGTCTAGGGCATAAGGTCTTATACCCAAATCAAACCTCTCAGGGATTTAGGGTGGGTCTTAAGGTTCAAGGTCTAGGGCATAAGGTCTTATGTGCAAATCAAACCTCTCAGGGATTTAGGGTGGATCTTAAGGTTCAGGGTCTAGGGCATAAGGTCTTATACCCAAATCAAACTTCTTAGGGATTTAGGGTGGGTCTTAAGGTTCAAGGTCTAAGGCATAAGGTCTTATACCTAAGTCAAGCCTTTTGGGTCTGGGTTCCAAAGCTTTAGGGTCACTTAACGCCAAAGCTAGGGTGGATGCAGGACTTATTAATAATGCCGATATAAGATATCTCAAAATGTTAGCTATCTCGTTTGTTCGATAGTTTGCTTTTTTTTGCATATTTTCGCAGCGAGGGAGCAGGCAGTGTTGTCATTGTCCAAGTACATCAAAGGAGCCAAAAACAGACAACACAAAAACGAAAAGAACGCCAGACAAAACGAAAATTGGGACTAGCAATTACCACAAGTCCTTTGCTCCAGCCTGAAAGCGGTGCATAATTGCATAATTTCTACAGAGAAAGTCATGTGCTCCAGTGCAAAGGTTGCTCGAAAATATTGCTTCTTAACTTCTTAATGTTGGGTGCTTTTTGTTTTTTCTCCTCCTTCCCACGGGCGAAGTATTTAATTTGAGCCACAGCTATAAAAAAAAGGCCCTGGCCACCCGCACTGTCTAGTAGGGTTTAGGGATTCGAGAGTGTAGGGTTTAGGGGCTTTTTTTTGCTGACGGACGAGTCGCTTGAGCCACAAAAGACCCCCCAGCCACCATACCCGACAAACCCAAGCCACCAGCTCAATGCTTCAAACACCCCCCACAACCCCCAGACACACAAACCAAAAACAACAAAAGACACAAAGACCCAGTCTATGGCCCAGCAAGCAAGGCCGTGCAAACTCATGAGACGAGAACCAACGCTGCGGAGTTCACCCCAAAGCCAAACTCCAACAGAATCTAAACTGAACTCCGAAGCTTGCGCCGCAGCACAGGTTTTACGTTTGCAGGCGAGGTGCGGAGGGAAAGCCGGCGACTCGGCACTTCGCTGGCGTTAAGCCGAGCAGGACTAAGACTAGGCACACGGACGGCCCTAAAGAAGCTGCACAACATCATCCTCATCATCCAGCAACTCCTGCAAAACAGCCCATGTAAACTCCACCTGCAGATTCCTGGATGAGCTCATCCTCGAATTAAGGGAAGGGCTTTGGGTGGCAAGCTACAGGACTGGCTTCTGGTACGGGGTTGACGTCTCAATGGCCTCTGGCCCCGCAGTTCCGGAAAGACCAGCAGTGTTTTGCTTGTCGCAGTCGTAGTACCGGCATGCGTAGTAGTGAAGGTGTCAGGGTATAAGGGTATGGCAAGCACCAGCTGAAGAAGAAGCCTCGGTAGCGGCCGCAGCACAGACTGCGACCCTTTGGCACGACTGTACCACCACCGCTACCCAGCACTAGCACTTCATTTTTTCCGGGCCTGGCTTGTCGCGAATTTGGCAAGTATTCGATCATCGAAGCTGGGACACATCAGCATGTGTTGCGCACGCAGTTGACAATGTCCGCAGAGCGCCGACACTCTGGTGAAGAGGAAACGACTTTCAAACCTCCTGGTCCTTGCCCCGCGGAATGACATGTCTCTTGAGAAGCAAGGCAACAGCAAGCAAGGACAAATACGTACAAGCGCAATTAAGGAACTCACACGGGCGAGCCGCTTGGCCCTGCACACTCTTGAGCAAAGGAGAAGTACAGCTTCGACCACGTGGCGGGAGCAGGGAGGCAGGGAGGCTCAGGGAGGCTTTGAGATCTTTGCTCATTGACACGGTACTATAGTACCCGCTAAAGTTCCTTCTGAGACTCCTCCCAGAGGCGGAGGGCTCGCAGAAATCTCCTTTGACAGGCTGACGTGCCCTTTCTTCGGGATTTGGATCTGCGGTGGCTTCGGCGAGGCAAGACACCTTTTGCATGGGATGTGCAGGCTGTGCAGAGTAAACGCACCACGGAAAGGCCGCCGCCACCAACCGCGCATTGAAAGCCGCAGCAAGCGGCCGCGCCGAGGGTCTTTGGGAGGGCGCTTGGCCACTGGTCTGCTGAGTTCTTGCAAACTTTATCGCTAACCACCGGTGGCCAGCTGGGAATCAAGTTTGCTTCTTCACGGTTCGGAGTGCTATTCCTCCTGTGTGGCATAGCAAGCAGCAAGAGCTACATCAAGGCACTCCTGTCGCCCTTTGCCTCCCGACAACGAGGAGGCCTGAACATCATTGGGCGAGCTGTGACGGTTCTGTGACGAGAGGTCTTGTGTGGAAGAGCTACCAGCAATTGCGGATCAGCGGGTCCGAAAGGAGTGCTCTCGTAGCCCTCTGGCTACAGTGCGCTGGGTCAAAAGGGTGGCAGATGGTAGAAGCCGTGTTTCTGCAGGCGTTACTGCTATTTGGACAGCTTCCAAGTGCGAGAAGATTGAGGGACATCTTGACAAGTGCGACTCCGCATTCTCTATACCAAGACAGTTTTGCGCAGGGATGATGGATTCGTTGGAGGCAGAGGGCAAGCCCAGAGCAAAAGCTCGAAGGTCACATGCAAGGCTTTGACCGTCAGGGCCTTGTTTACAAGCCAGTCACCCTCCGAGTG